TCCCTCTGGTTCCCTGTGCGAGCCACAGCCGACGGCATCCCTGGCCGTAGCCCGAACCACGGCCAATCACGCTGGTTCCCTGGGTGAACCAAACCAGACAACGGCACCCAGTATCATCATGGACCTCCCGACCATTCGCCCGCGACCACTTGTCCCCTCAGCAGCCGGCCGACCAACCATTACACACTAAAGTGTTAGAAAATAAAAGAAGTTATAGTGAATTTGTGTGTCATTTAATCAATGAAAGATTGGACTTTCGAATAGCGATTCCGTGATAAAATCTAACCCTGAGAGAGAGAGGCCTCGAGCTCGAGCTAGCCAGTAAAAAGAGGCGGATGTAGGCCATCCCAGACGAAATCCGTGGCTAAACTAGAGGTCACGGGAACCTTTAGACTAGCCCTTCGGTACCGTCAGTAGCAAAACATTCCCGAAATTTCCCCCAAAACCTACCCGAAATTCCCCACAGTTCACCGATCCTTCCTCACGATACCTGAAACTTTCACGAAACATCAACGAAGTTCCCTGAAGTTTCCCAAAGTACCACGAAGTATCCGGAAACTTCTCCGAAACTCCCCGAAATTTACCCGAAGTATCCCGAAATATCCCCGAAGTAACTCAAAATTTTCCCGAAATTCCTCGAAAGTTCCCTGAAGTTTCCCGAATACCACGAAGTTCCACAAAACTTCCCGAAATTTCCTATAAATTCACCAAAACATGCACGAAGTATTCATAAACTTCTCCGAATTCTCTGAAACTAACCCGAAGTATCCCGAAACATCCCGGTAGAAACTCAAAACTTCCGCGAAATTCCCCAAAGTACCACAAAGTGTCCTGAAACTTTCCCCAACTTCTTCGAAACTTCCCAAAATTTCCACAAAATCCACGAAGTAACCCAAAACTTCCCCAAAGTATACATAAACTTCTCCAAAATTCCCCGAAATTTACCCAAAGTAACCCGAAACATCCCCGAAGTAACCCAAAAGTTCCCCGAAATTTTCCCAAAGTTTCCCGAAGTACCACGAAGCTCCCCGAAACTTTTCCAAAGTTTCCCGCAACTTCTAGGAAATTCTCCGAAACTTACGTAATGTATCCCAAAACATCCCTGAAGTAACCCAAAACTTCCCCGAAACTTCCCGAAACCTCTCCGAAGTATCCAGAAACATCTCCAAAATTACCCGAAACTTACCCGAACCATCCCGAAACATCCCGAAGTTCCTCAAAACTTCCTGAAAATTCCTCTAAATTCACCGAAACTTTCCCGAAGAATCCAGATACTTTTCCGAACTTCCCCGAAATTTCCCCGAAACAACACAAAACTTCCCCGAAATTCCTCGAAATTCCCCGAAATTTCCCGGAGTACCACGAAGATCCTCGAAACTTTACCGAAATTCCCCGAAACTTCCCCGAAGATCCCCTAAACTTCCCGAAATGCCTTCGAAATTCACCGAAACTTTCCCCAAGTAACCCAAAACTTCCCCGAAGTTCCCCGAAGTACCACGAAGTATCCCGGAACTTTCCCCGATGTTCATCGCAACTTCCACAAATTTCCCCGAATCATCCCAAAATTTTGCGAAACTTCCCCGAAGTTTCCCAAAACATCTCGGAAGTATCCCAAAACTTCCCCGAAATTCCCCAAAAGTTCCCCGAAGTATCCATAAACTTCTCCAAAATTTCCCGATACTAATCCGCAGTATCCCGAAACATCCCCGAAGTAACTCTAAACTTCCCGAAATTGCTCGACAGTTCCCTAAGACTTCCCGAAGTGCAACGAAGTTCCTGATACTTTCCCGAAACTAGCCTGAAATTCCCCGAATGAATGATCTGCTTGTGGACAGCAAGCTTGTTTTTGAGGGACAGGGTGGACTTCCTGTTTATCAGAGGGTAGAGCGCCCTGATCAAGATGTTACACTTGGTGGATGTCTTGTCCACATGTGATCGGAATAGTAATTTTCTATCGAGGGTGAGACCAAGGTAGACTACTTTACTCGACCATTCAATGGGAGTGCTATCAAGATGGACCTTGACGTGAGCAGGCGGAACAAGCTGAGGTGAATTCGAGTGTGGAAACAGAATGGTATGTGTTTTAGCTGCATTGATACAAATCTTCCAGCTCTTGAAATAGTCGGACAGGACATCCAGGCCTGATTGTAGTTTACTCGCCAGAGCACGGATCACTCGACCCTTATAGATGATGGAGGTGTCATCTGCGAACATAGACAGGATACCAGTCTGACGTGAAAATGTTGAATAGGATAGGCCCAAGCAGGCTACCCTGAGGGACCCCTGCATCAACGTTGAACGTATCAGAGGGGACATTGTTCAAGTAGACCTGGAATGATCTGCCCGACAAGTAGTTTTTGATGATCTTCACGAGTTAGATCGGAAAGTTATATCGACGCAGCTTGTACACTAGGCCATCATGCCAGACATTGTCGAACGCCTTCTCGACGTCCAACAATGCCATGGCAGATGTATTGGAAACGGACTTGTTCCGCTTGATGATGTTAGTAACTCGTGCGAGCTGGTGGATGGTAGAGTGGCCTTTCCTAAAGCCGAATTGCTCTTTGAGAAAAATGTTATTATCATTTGAAAACACCAGCAGACGGCTGAGTATCAATTTTTCGAATAGCTTCGAGATGAAGGACAAGAGGCTGATGAGGCGATAGCTTTTGGCGCTGGTAGGATCTTTGCCAGGCTTGTGTATTGGAAACACTTTGGCTAACTTCCAGCATGCAGGGAACTAGCCAAGCTCCAAACATTTGTTGAAGATAAGGGTAAGATGGTTGAAGAAGTCAAGTTTTTCAACTCGAGGTTGACTACACCATCCATACCCGCAGCCTTCATATTTTTAGTGCTTCTAATAGCTGCTATCACCTATCACCTATCACGTAAATTTTACTACTACTACGGATGTTAATCTTATTACATATAAAGAGGTACCAGATATGTTTTTCAGTCGATTGTTGATAAATAACGAATATGATCAAAATGCCTCAATTTTGATTTCTCAAATTTGAATGTTTTAACTCTCTGGGCAGAAGCGGGAATTAATTTTACTTAATTGTAAGTTTGTTAATTGTTATTTATCGGAAAAAAGTGATCGTCAAAATTCATGTCTTTTTGAAGGTTTATAGGGGGAGGGGGGACGTTGGGTGCTGTTTGTATAAATGAACCCAAGCCACCTTCGAACTCATCGCTGGTTGTCAAGGTGATCACAACGTAATCCTTCTCTAGGAATGTTTACATCTGTATGGATTTGCTAACGCTAGTGTACTACCCAACTAGCACATGCCCTGCTAACATTTACACACGCTAGAGAATCCGTATAGATGTAAACCATATTAATCGCTGACTCGCGCAACAATTCTTGCTGTAGGACCCAGTGCCACGACGTCTGAAGCGATAATGAGCATTTATATATCATTTATATCTTTTCAGATTCAAGCAAAACGATGTGCAACCTAGCGGCACACGAATATGACGACTGGGTTGGGGGAAAACGTTTATTTCACGAGAAAAGTGATAAAATTATCATTTGTACATTGTTCACCATTTAAGGGAAAATTGGAATAGTATTTATTTTAGAAGATACGTAAAGTAATATCCTGTCGATTGACGTATTTGGATTTTAATTTTATCTATAAATCACAAAGTTATAAGCGTTCCAAACCTAACACAACTTCACCACACATATTTTTGATTTGCACCCCAGTATAGTCGACAAATACGTAGTTCTACGCCAAAAATCATCTGCACTCAAATCGATTCAACTATCGCCGAGAAAAATGAGCAATCATTACACTATTATGGTTATATCCTCGAAATTAAACGTTCGATCGAGATGAAATTCAATAGGGTTCTATTCAAAATAGATACAAATTAAATGGATCAGTTCGGCCATCTCCAAGAAAAGTTAGCGAGTAGCGCTGTTTTACTAACAAAATTTCACCCTTTTGGTAATATCTACGGAACCAGATATCTGATAGGTATTAATTTTAAAAAAGGTTCTGCATGAGCTAGAAACATACATGCTGATACTTCTCAAGACAGCCGGCGCCGGTGGTGTAGTGGTAAGCGTGACTGCTTTCTCACCCCAATGGGTCTGGGTTCAATCCCAGTCGAGGTCGGTGGGATTTTTCTGAGGCATAAAAATCTCTGGTCACGTCTTCCTTTTAGAAGGGAAGTAAAGCCGTTGGTCCAGGCCCATGTGTGTTTGATGAATGGGTGTGGAAGCTGCCTTCCTGCACATTCGATTGCCGTCAATGGATGGCAATCGATGTCCGTCGGTGATTGGCACTAGATTGCGGAACAGAGACCGACGTTAAATAAAGGAAAGATACTTCTCAAGTAACAATTTAGATTTTATGAGGGTTCTGAAGACCAGACTAGACTTGTAGAACGCTTTTGAGCGAAAAAGGGACGTCGTTAATTTTGAAAATTAAAAGCAATTTTGACGTAGGATAACGTCTTTCGGCAACATATTGGGGGTGCAATTTCAAAAAACCAAAATCGACCGCATTACGAAAAGAAGTCAGGTTTTAACCACATATAACTCTGTCAATAGCAGATGGATTTTAATTCTAAACAAGCCAAACGGTTAGAAATTAGTAGCAGCAACAGCAGCAGCAGCAGCAGCAGCAGCAGCAGCAGCAGCAGTAGCAGTGCTTTCGGTGTGTGGCGTTGAAAATGGTTCTCCAGTAACAACGTACGGCTGCCTGCAAGCAGCGAGCTGCAGAGCCCACATGAGCAACCATCAAAGGAGGAAGAAGCTGCACCGCTATGCTATGGATCGGAATTAGTAGCTCTTCGTGAGTCACTGCGGGTCATCTATGCCGAGCGTGTCACTTTTGCTATAAACAACATACAGCTCGACAGCCTCATCTGTGTTGAACACCCAGCTCAGCATTACTTAACCATCACTACAAAACGGTCCTTTTCAAGACCACCATAAATTTGGTAAAGAGTATGATTGGGACCAACCTTTGCCTCCAAGACTACAGCAAAAGTGGAAAGAGTTCCACACTACCATCGACCTGCTTCGTGAAGTTCGAGTTCCTCGATTTGCTTCCATCATTGGTGCTGTCAGCATCGAGCTTCATTTCTTCGCTGATGCGTCAAGCAAGGCCTACGGAACGTGTCGCTATGTTCGTGCCCAATCTATCCAAGAAGTATCCGTGAAACTGCTGGTCTCCAAGTCCAAGGTTTCGCCCCATGCAGCACGCCATACGATAGCCCGACTGGAGTTATGCGCAGCTCATCTTTCCACGCAGCTGTACAAGAAAGTCGCTTCGTCCTTGCAAACGGTTCCACCTGCTTTCTTCTGGTCGGACTCGACCACCGTGATACAGTGGCTCCGATCATCACCTGGACGTTGGAAAACGTTTGTAGCCAACCGTGTGAGCCAAATCCAAGCTGCTACTCCAGTCGATAAGTGGAATCACGTAGCTGGTTCCGACAATCCCGCTGACGACATCTCCAGAGGATTGGATCCAACCGAACTTCTCCACAAGGCAAGGTGGTGGAATGGTCCATCCTGGTTAAAGGTTCCACCTGAGCTTTGGCCTGCAGGAGCGCTTCCTACGAAAGAAACAGCAGAAGTATCCCAAGAATGCCGCAAGATTCCCATCGTAGCGATGACAGCCATCCAAAGCACATTCCACGAAGATTTGTTCTCCAAATACTCCAGCTTTTCCAAGCTTCGAAGTACGGTCGCATGGTGGTTGCGATTTCTGTAAGCTCTTCGTGACCATGCAATTCTTCGTCGTTCGAATGCAATCAATCCAGGTGTGCTCAAAAGGTCAACTGAGTCATGCCAGCCACTCAACTCCGACGAACTCCACTCGGCTGACCGAGTCCTTTGTCGACTAGCGCAGCTGGATAACTTCCAAGAAGAGCGGAACGATCTTGTCACTCGTACAAACGTAACAAAATCGAGTTCGTTGAAGTGGTTGAAGCCCTACGTTGATGAATTCGGATTGATCCGCGTTGGAGGACGCCTCGACAATGCCGAACTACCTGAGTCTACCAAGCACCCTATCATCCTAAGCGCCAAACATCCGTTAGCCAGCATGCTCGCTGTGCACTGTCACAAAACCTTGCTTCACGCTGGCCCGCAATTGATGTTGGCTACCCTCCGCCAGAAATTTTGGATTATGGGCGGACGAAACCTCGTCAGACGCACGTACCATCAATGCATCACTTGCTTCCGTAGCAAGCCGAAATTGATTCAGCAAACTGTAGCAGATCTACCAGCATCCCGTGTCACTCCGACGCGTCCTTTTTCCGTCTGTGGCGTAGACTACTGTGGGCCATTCTATGTCAAGTCGGCAGTCCGGAAGCGGGGTCCAACGAAGGTGTATGTGGCAATTTTCATCTGCTTTTCCACACGATCCGTCCACATTGAGCTTGTGAGCGATCTTACGTCTGCCGCATTCGTCGCCACACTGCGTCGCTTAATAGCTCGAAGGGGGAAGATTACCGAGCTGCACTCCGATAACGCCACGACCTTCAAAGGAGCTTCACACGCCTTGCATCGAGTGTACCAAATGCTGAAGCAGGACGCCACTGACCGAAATCATATCTTTTCCTGGTGCGCAAACCACGAGATCCGGTGGAAGTTCATTCCGCCACGTGCACCTCATTTTGGAGGCATCTGGGAGGCTGCGGTGAAGTCCGCGAAGACCCACCTCCTCAAGGAAATTGGCAATACGAATCTTGCCTACGAGGACATGCTCACCTTACTAGCGCAGGTTGAGATGTGCCTCAATTCGCGACCATTAACGCCCCTGTCCTCAGAACCATCGGACCTGGAAGCCCTGACACCCGGTCACTTCCTGGTAGGTTCCAACCTCCAATCCGTTCCCGAAGCAACATTGGTCAACATTCCCGAAAACCGGCTCAACCATTGGGAACAAACTCAGCGCCACCTCCAACGAATCTGGACACGTTGGTACCCGGAATACCTCCAGCAGCTGCAATCCAGGGCTGTTCAAGGCTGCAAATCACCTAGCAAAATCGAGATCGGACGGCTTGCCGTGATCAAGGACGATTGCCTACCACCCGCTCAATGGCCCCTCGGCAAAATTGTGAAGGTCCATCCTGGGAAAGACGGGATCGTTAGAGTGGTCACGCTGAAGACTGCCTCCTCGGACAACGTCGTGCGACCCGTCGCGCGGATTGCTTTGCTACCAATACCCAACAATCAGTCCGATGCAGCAGTCGGAGACCATTAGAGCAGTACCAAACTGGCTCGAGGCTCATGTCAGTAGAAACCAGGTATTTAATTACCATTCCAATAAACCTAATCCACCCGTATGATCTACCTTGTCTTTTTTTTTTTGTTTTCGGCTGACGAGAACGAGGTCAACGCACTCAATCTATCTACTGCATCACCGATTGAACAGAGAGTCGAGCAAAACAATCCTCTCAGGCGACGCAGATACCACTAGCAAGAGAAGATGCATAATTAAAGTGATTGAGTTAACAAGTATTAGTGTTGAAATGATAGGGCTATTTCAAAGGTGGCCGGAATGTTGAGGCCTTACCGTAAACCTAAATCTAAATTATATATTTAAGTTAAAGATTGTCAAACCATAACGGCGCCGGTGGTGTAGTGGTAAGTGTGATTACCTCTCACCCCAGCAGGCCTGGGTTCAATCCCAGTCGGCGCCGCCGGGATGTTCTGAGGCATAACATCTCTGATCACGCCTTCCTTCGGATGGGAAGTAAAGCCGTTGGTCCCTGGTTCATGAGTTGATGGGTCGATAGGTAGGGTCCAGGTGTGGGAGCTGCCTTCCTGGCACGTCGGTAGCATTGGTGCTCAGCACGGAAAACAAGATCGACGGAAAAAACAAACCAAAGGAAAAAAAAGATCGTCAAACCTACCCTAAAGCTACGGCTTATATACTTATAAGATGAGAGAGAGAGTAATAACGAATACCATTGTCCGTACACAAGCATTACACTTGATCACCCGATCGATGAGAGGTCAGTGGTCAACCCGATAAAAACAATGAGTCCAAACCCAATTCACAGCGTGAATGCACGGTCGATTGTGCGCGACAAAAAAAAACACAAATTTCTTTATCCAAGGTCCGAAAGTAGGTTGCAAGTAGTGCAAAGTGGGAAAGCAGAAGATTTCAATTCCTCCAACGGTGCGCAATCGATGTGTGCTAGTCTTGCGCTCTAGTAAAAGAGCGAAGATAGCAAAATAAGTGCAAGTTAATTCAGCCATTCTACTGGCCCTTTTGGCAGCCGTTTCGACGGTGAAGAAAAACTTTCGGTCCAGCAATTACAGCCAACTGGCTTGTACAGTATTATTTGGACATTTGTCAAGGTCATCAGTTCCCGCAAGCAGCTAGCTATCAAGGCTCAACCTGGTCTATAGAAGGTGTGGAATTGTAGGCCGAATGTATTGGTGAGACTAATCATATCGTCCGGCCATTTTCCAGAACACGCGAGTAGGAAGTGTTAAAAATCCATATAGAATTTGAGAGAAGTGTGAATAATTCGCTTTAGGTGCGTATTCAGGTCAAAAAAGTGATCGACAAGCTACATAAATTAATCAGGGACATTCATTTTTTTTCCGGAAATTGTTTAATATAAATGATTTTTTCCCATACGTTTTACCTGCTTTATTACCAATCCCCAGAAAGCCAACAAAATCAAATTTGTGAGAAAATGAGCTCTCACGAGTTCAATCTCTCAACATGCCATGTTTTTTTTATGATACCCAGTTTGTAATTTCCCTTTCATAGATTACAAAATAGAGTACCTGACACTACAAAACATGTCTGGTACCTCTATATATGCATTTAGATTAACATTCGAAGTCCCTCCTTTTTTACATATTCTGCACAAACGATACTTTCCGTTACGCCCCATGCATATAATTCGGAAGGAAATCCTGTGAGGGCTGAGCTATTTTGAGTGCAGAATGTGTAAAGAAGCAGGGACTTCGGTTGTTAATCTAAATGCATATATAGAGGTACCAGACATGTTTTGCACTGCACTGGTCTCTGTGAACAATTATTGGAAAAAAAAAATTATGTGTAGTTTCCGACAGATGCCACCGCCAACAACATCAGTGACATCTGATTATGAATGCCGAAGCTTGACAAAATAATTAATCCGTTTTTCCCTCGGCTTTCATTCCGCTTCGCACGATTCGTTTCTTTCGTTTACTCAATCACGCTTGCAGTGACGTCAAAAAGTTTGTTTCGATCGACGCTTACATAGGAAATATAATATGGATTATAGAATTTTTGTAGGGGAAATGATTCTAATGATGGGTCCATCACTAAAAATCTGCTATTTATCATTTTTTTTCAGATGAACGCATCATTGGGACGGTACTAATGGATATTTTTGGTTGCTACTGAAAATTTAGTCGATTGCTGAATTTATGTATGACCCCAAATTAGGGGCATTTAGACCGACATTACATCTATTTCCCCTATGTTACCAACATTTATGAATTATCTGCCAGTAAATGTTGAGATAATTGATTGATTATTTAATTGTATATCATGAAAAAGCTGCCTGTTTGTGAGTTTTTGTCTGTTTTCAAGTAAGGAGTTATCATAAAAAAAACAATTCGCCAGCTGGTATTTCCCGGCGACTTAACAAATAAATACAATCAAACAAAATCATCATGCAGAACTAGCTAGGATTTGTTTTACTTCATACTTCACAAAATTGCTTTCGAGTGTTATGACATCGTCTTCCGCAAAGTTTACATTTTGACATAGGATTACGTCTCTGGGCAACATATTGGGGATGCAATTAAAAAACAAAAGTAAAATCGACCGCGTTACCAAAAGTGGTAAGGTTTTCACCACTTATAACTCTGTCAAAAGCGGATGGATTTTAATTCTAAACAAACCAATCGATTGGTATTTTCTCTACAAAGCAGCTAAATTGAATACTTTATTAATTTTCAATAGGTCACTACTGAAAATCACACAAATGTCCAACTGTGGCAATGGTTATCAAAATTATCACCGATTGCCTACAAAAAGTGGTTTCCCTAACATAGTCGGCAAATATTGATACCGAGCACGTAATCCTACGTCAAATGTACGGTCGAGTCTTGGATACAACCTCTTAATTTTTTCGTTTGAACCGAAACTCTGTCACTGTTTTCCAGTAGGTAGAATGTAGTGGGTACACATTTTCATGAACGTAAAGTTGGTTTTGTGATATTATAGCCTTTCGGTACACCTAGGTATACTAAAAAAGCAAACACGTTGTGACAGCGGCTAGGTTGGAAGTGGAGTAAAACTAGGTTGAAACTGCACAAAACCAAATTCGCTAAAAGTTTAATTCCAAATCATCGCTTTCAATCAGACTAACCATTAAAGAAATTAAACTAAACGACCAACTCAACTATACCATTCCTCAATGGGAAGCACATTTTGCCACCTCAATTTATCATCATCCATTGTCCTGGCCCCGAATCGTCTCGAGCGCCCAGCACAGTGTAATTGATAGAATATAGAAACCTTCGCCATTCGAAAAAGGTGACTTTTCCCGTCATTTTGAGACAAAATATGGGTCAATTTGAGTGTCTATTTCGGTTAGTTTGTTTTCTTTCAGTCTTTTTGCATGGAACATTTCGAAAATGTTTTGTTTGTTTGATGAAATCTTAAAGTAACAGAGTCAAAATGACGGGAAAAGTCCCCTCTTTCGAATGGCGAAGGTTTCGGGAAAGCAGATTTTTTCTTTTAAAGCTATTCTAACTAATACCCCGAATGAAAAAAAGTGCCATTGAAAATCAAGGCCCAAACGTGTAACCCTACAAATCGATGCCAGTTTACGATAGTGTTTACATCCACTGGAGGACTTGGACTCGAAGACACTAAAGTGATCACAATGTGACTTTCGAATTCCCAGCAACTCCTTTCCGAAAACCGCCCTTATTTATGTTCGGTCATGTCCTTTGCCATGGTCGTCGGGGCACATCGAAAGCATCCGGCTGGCACGTGAACGTGAGAGTCCCTACTGGTAATAGATTCTCCTTGCTTTAGCCGTGGTGTTTTGCCTCCTACGAGTCGGGTTTCTCCAGCAACGAGTAGTGGTAGTAGATTGCCCTCGAAATATGTGATAATTATTAGATTAAATTGAATCTTGACGTTATGCTGTTTCAGCTTCCTGCTTGCTCTCCTATAACTTCTGAGCCGACCAGCTGTCTGCAACGGGCTTCTGCAGTTTTAAATTTCCACACAGATCCGGAAGATAAAAAAAAACAGCAAACATTCCTACATACGGAAAGAACTAGAGACAAACGAGCAGTCGTGTCCGGAAGCTGGAAGAAAGAATCTGGGTATAAATTTTATCGCTTCCATAAATTTGTCCACATGTATATGTTTCTAGCATTCTTTCGGGAGAGTTGCTGCTAGCGAGCAGTGCTGTGTTTATGGGTGTAACCAAAAAGTCAACAGAAAATTTGTTACTTTCACTACTCGCCAAACCGGAATGGCATAGGAAATGGAACGCTGGCTTTTTTTTGCCAACTAGCAATGCTTTATGGGACGCTGTTTATTTTGGCTTCGAACATGTAGCTTTCAACACCAGGAAAAATGCCAAATTAAGACTTACGGTGTAAAAGTATATTGTTTATAGCTCTGTAACCAACCTTGAAAATTACTATCCACTCGATCCATGGTCACACTTCGCCAACCTCGTAGTCGGCGAAGGGTCCTCAGGTCGCCTTCTAATTGGTCGATGCACCTGCTCGCCTCTTCTTCTGATTCCTGTTGGGTAGCTTTCGAGAACCATTTTCACTGCGTCTTTGAATTTCTCTGCTGGTATCATTTTCGACGGTCACCATTGAGCCCAAATACATGAACTCATCGACCACCTCGATTTCGTCACCGTCAATCTGAACTCGGAGTGGGAGGCTAACATTTCTTTCCTATAACCTCTTCCGCTCATGTATTTCGTCTTCGATACGTTGATAGCAAGTTCAATCCGCCCAGCTTCAGCCTTCAGTCTGATGTACGTTTCCGCCATCGTCTCAAAGTTCCGTGTCATCGGCGAAGTCAATAAGCTTGATGGACTTCCTGAAGATCGTGTTAGTCGTTTCTATCCCAGCTCTTTTGATCACACCTTCTAACGCGATGTTGAATAGCAGACACGAAAGTCCATCACCTTGCCGTAACCCCCTTCGAGATTCAAAAGGACTCGAGAGTGTCTCCGACTCGAATAACGTACATCACTCGTCAGTTTATCC